GTTCTTTTCTCTAAGCCATACTTCTTGCAAAAAATAGAAAGGATACAATGGGGGAAGCAGAGAGGTATGTTTCAATTTCATGAAGCACATTGTTAAACCCTGTGAAGCCAAAAGGGTATATTCAAGTGCACTAAGGTGTATATTTTCATTTATTATCCACATAGTTTTCTTCTCTGTTAGAACTGAGAGAATGTCTATCCCTCCCTCTGGATTCAAGGGATCGTTTTTTTACAAGTAGTGCTTGAGTTGGGAAAAAATAGTCCTTAGGTTTTTCTCTGCAGATTTAGTTCTGCCACAGAAGCAGAGGCACATTATTCTTTATCATTTTTTTCTATGTTCCTCAACCCTAATCCTCTTCTGCCTGTGCCTCCTCCCTGATCTTTTCCTTCCCTTTTCCCTCCTTGCCTCTTCTTATTTCTAATCTATATTCTTCCATGACTCTACATACCAAAATAATGGCTTAGTTGGGCAAATGGGTTAAGGGGTGGAGGTTATGGTGGTGTGGGGGAGGAAAGGCTCAGAGAAGTGGCAGAGCAAGTCCCAGGATCTGGGTGTGAGCAGGAAACTAAGGAAGAATTGCTTTATTTCTCTCTCCTCGCCTGCCCCCTGCCTCCTTCAACCCTAAGCTAAGTCAAGGATTTCAATGTCTTTTAAAGTAAAGGATAGAGATGGGAAGACCAGTCTGTGGGGTAGAAGATGATGGTGGCTTGCACCAGGGTTGTTGCAATGAGTGTGGAAATAAATGGTTGAAATCTGCTTAGGTTTTGAAGGAAAAGGCAGAATTTTCTGGGGGAAAAAATGGACAAAGGTAAAAGAGGAAGAGAGGAGACATACACCACATCAAACAGACCTGCCATGAACTGAGATGGGAAAGTGTACAGAAGGAGCTGGTTGTGAGGAGCAGATAGGGAGCTCAGGTTGGGACATGATAAACTGGAGCTGTGAAGAGGAGAGCTTTTGTTTTTAATTAGAGTTCAGGGAAAAGGTCTAGGCTAGAGATTTGAATTTGGGAATCATCACAACTGAAGTATTTAAACTAGAAGATTAAATGAAATTACTTGGGAAGGGCATGGAGACTAAAAAAAGGAAGTGCCCCCAGGAGTGGGTTTTGGAAGGTGCCAGCACTAGAGGATGGGGAGATAAGGAGGACCAGCAGAAAGCAACTGATGTGGAATTACCACACAGGAACATACAGTCATTGTTTCAGTTGTATTTTGGTTAGCAATTAGAGTTTATGAATACAAATGTTATTTCACTATGTGCTTTATTTTTCTTTACAACTTGAGAATATGACACTTCTGGTAACAACATGCACATGCCCCTGTGAGTTATGGGTATGTGTGTGTGTTGTGCCTGTTTTCTAATTAAACTGATACATAATTAAATAGATATATATTTTAGTATATATATATACACACACACACATACATACATAATACAGATATACACTTTAATTCACTGTTTCATCAGTAGAAAAATGTTACGAAATTAATTTCAATTTTCATGGTCCATGATTTGCTATATTATTGACATCCTATAAAATATTTTTTGTCCAAGCAAATACTTTGTCTTTCTTCTGGTTTTGTCTGATTGATAGTTAATTCAAGTGTTTGGATTCAGTTTAAATTTCAGACCACTATAAAATAGAGTTTAGCTACATTCTTTTTATCTCAATAATTAAATTATACTCATAACTTTCCATTTAAAAAGCTGTAACTGTTAAAATATATGACATGTTTAAAGAGTAAGGCACTGAATAGGTAAAGGGAATTTATGGACATTTAAAATTATTTTGTGGGTGGCGATATTTTTTTTTTTCCACACCATACTATTTCATCCTGGACATCAACATTGGTTTTTATTGTGGAAAATGAACCTTTCTACCTCACAAGGTAAGATGCTCATCGTTAAATGACCTAATGGGGAGAACCAGTGCCTGCTATGTAACTTTGCTCCAATGGAGACTGACTTAAGAGCAGGGGCGGGAGTTACAGGAGTGTCCCGTGATGGAGATTGGGGAAGGAGAAGAAGAGGAAAGGGAGTATGTTGGGAGGGAAAAGATGAAAAGTTGATGAAAATAGGGAGGGGAGGCAGCGCTGATAATGAGAAGGGATGCAAAACAACCTGTGCTAGATATAAAGATGGAGTACAGAGCTAGCCTTGTAAAGGGTATCATGGAAATAAGAATAACTGAGGAAAAAGGAACTTGAAAGTTAGAATGAGAAAAAGGACCTTTATCAGCGTCATTGCTAGCAAGATCAAGGGTTTAGAGGGGACTCACAGCCAAAACAAGGGCAGCAGGTGTCTCTAAAAGTGCCCAGCTGTGCCTGTGCATCAGCTGGATTTCCTGAGGTGGCTGCTACAGATGCTACAACCCACTGATGCCAGGGAATCTGCATTTTTTAAACAAACACCCAGGCCCTCTCCTCATCCCCAAGTGAACCGTATGCCTGCTAAAATTTGAGGACCACTGAAATAATAGGGAAAGAACATGTAAGAAATAAATCTCAAAAATGTATGTAGTAGACTCAAATGGAGAGGAGAGTCTAGAGGAATTTGCAGAATTAGAAATATGTAGAAAAAAATAATGAAAGTAGGGGCGCCTGAGTGGCTCAGTCTGTTGAGCGTCCGACTCTTGGCTTTTGCTCAGGTCATGATCTCGGGGTCCTGGGATGGGGGGATCAAGCCCCACGTGGGCCTACATGCTCAGTGCAGTTTGCTTGGAATTCTTTCCTCCTCCCTCTCCACCCCCCGCCCCTACCCCCTGCTCTTGTGCCTTGACGCGCTCTCTCTCAAATAAATTAATAAATAAAATCTTTAAAAAAAATGATAATAATGAAAGTAGGTAATGTTCAGGAATAAAGTAACAATGAAATGCCAGGGAAGTATGAGATGAGTAAAGAAGGAAGGCAATGGTGACAGGAGTCAAAAGAATGCACGGGATTGAATTATGAGAGGGCAGGCATGACACCCTCAAAGAGGACAGTTATGGGAAGAGAAAGATGGAAGACCACACATGGCCTCCAGAACTCTGCTTTCCAAGAGCTAAGCCGTGGAAGGCCTGTCAGTACCCAGAAGTTGACAGAAGAAAGCAAATTATGACAGAAGAGCAGATCAGTGGAAAGGGACCACCAAGCAGCTACCGCACGTTGCTTTCTATGTTGGGTCTGTAGTTAAGTCTCTCTCTGCTGTCAGAGGTGCTGGGTATCAAACATCATCCCCACCCCCACGACCCACCAATATCTTTAGATAATCACTTTCTTTGCAAAAATAACACGGAGTTGTTTCATTTCCTAATCCACTGTGGTGGATTGAACTTTGTATCGGGTCTGAGTACAGATGAGTAAGGGAGACATCACAGGTGGTGATTTTTGTTAGAGGCCTTAGCACACTCCGATTGAGATCAGATGAACCAGAAAAAGTTATAGATAACTGGCAGGGACGAATGTTTTCTTTCTCCTCCTCACCATTGTTCTTTGTTCATTTGCTTTAATTTGCATTGAAATATATATAATAAGTAGTTAAGGTATGTTTTATTTTTAGGCTCCCACTTCTGTGAAATGTAAAAGTCTGTAAGTACAGAATTAAGAGCAAATTCTCCTAAGTGTCACACACTAGCGACATGTTTCTTAGCCTTCGCAAACCTGTATCCCTCATCGGCTTCTTGCCCTAGCTTCTGAATAGTCCAAGCAACCAAGGGTTTTTCTTTTAATCATTGCGATAAATAAATACATAAATAAAATTATGGGAATATTCATTATATGTTTACAAGAAAGAGTGTTGTCTTCCTAAAGAAACTTGTATTTTCCCCTAAAAGTCATTAGTGTAAATGGAAGGGGAGGAGGAGTGCTCCCTGGATGTTAGTTTTTCTCACTGGATTCTAATATTTCTAAATAAGAAATGGAATTATGGGAATTTTAGTAATTTAACTGGTAAGTGTAGAGAAAATAATAAATACTCAACACAGAGTACAAGATACATGAAAAATGCTTTGACAGTTGGATGCAAAGAGATGTAGGCAAGTGCTGCACCAACCAAGTGAACTTCACTCTTCTTTCACTTTGGCTGGTATTTTGCTGGTTTATTCCTTTCCCTGCTGAAATGCTTCCTTTGTCTTTCCTAATCCAAAGATTCCTTCATTTCATGGAATCCTTACCCCCATAGTATGCTTGACCAATTCTTAGATGATGATTATAAAAGTCAGTAATTCTTCAATTAGTAATCAATTTTACATTTTTTTCCAAGTGAAATGAGAAAGCACTAGGAACAAAATGGGTAATGATAAAATAGCATAATGAAATTTTTATGCTATAAATATTCTTGTTCTATCCAATAAAATTCTCCTTATGCCCACTTGGCATTAATATATTTTCTCCCCATTTCTCAGCTATTAAACTTTACTCACTCTGCCCTACCTATCATGGGGGAAAATATAGGTAGTATTTATTGAATGCTTGCTCTGTGTTGGTCACTATTGTAGGCATTTCACATGAATTATGACCAACTTTACCCACCTCTTAGAATTCTTGTATATTTATTCCTAATTTCCTGTGGAGGAAACTGAAGCCTGCCTAAGGTCACCCAGCTAGTAGATGGCAGAGCCAGGATTAATATTCAAATTAGCCTGAATATAAAAGCTCATACTTTTCTTTTCACTCTGTACTAATGTGACTTCAAGTTTATTAGTAATTAACAATAATTTTATTTTGAATACTAATACCTGACATATGTAATTATAAAGAATCTTCCTTGTGGTTGAGCAAAACTCGATGTATTTCACTTTTAAAATCTTTAAAAAATATCTTGGTCTTAAAAAATATCTTGGTCATTTTACTTAAAAAAACTCTTAGGACATCATATAAACCTCTTAGAATAGTTCTTTTCTGTTCAAAAGGAAGTCATGCTATTTGGAGTTCTGTTTCTCATTTGCCATCTGGTACTAAGGACTGCAAATTCTTTCTGCTTTTTTGTGTAACTTGCCTTTATCTTTGTTGTTCCAGTACTGGATACCAGTTTATTTACTATTCACCTGAAAACACAGCCAAAGCAAAAGAAGTTCTCAGCAACATCAATCAACTACAACCTCTGATAGCAACCCATGCAGACCTACTGCTTAATTCTGCAAGCCAGCATTCTCCAGACAGCTTGAAGAATTCTTTAAAGATGCTTTCAGAAAAAGTAAGATCCAAATCACCACTACAGTGGGGAAAATGAAATACCCAAATCCCCATTGGTGTTGCTTTCTGCATACATTGCCTTTCATAGCATCTGGAAATGTAAAATAGACTAAGTTAAAAAGTAAGCTTCAAAGTATTGCCACAGGATCAAAATGAATAGGCCTTGTTCTCTTTTCAAATCTTACTGAGCATTAATTTTTTTTTAAGTAGGAAATAATACCTATTATTGGCTAAGGTATATTTTCTCTTTTTCTTGACGTCTTTCATTCTCTTTGGTTCATGGCCTTATTAAAAGAGTTAAATTAGATTTTGAAAATTACTTTATTTTCCTCTGGTGATTAACTAATTTTTATGCATATGAAGCTATACATTTGAATTAGGAATGTCATTTCATTTGAAAGCACAAGTTTGATGTGGATTCTTATCAGTAGCATGGGGTAATTCCTTTGCCTCAGTTTGCTTTCTGCAACCTTATCTACTGGGAGAAGGTTTTAAAAAAATTAAAAAATATTAGCTACTGTTTGAAATGTAGTGGGACCTAAGCCTTAATTTTTTCAAAGGTGCCTTGCACCTGTCTATGCAAAGAGGAAATGTAGTCTGGCATGGGGTAAACACTCAACATCAACTTCCATAGCTAATTAAGGCAGCTGAAAGATTCAGAGAGAGCCAAGATAGAAAAGATAAGTTGCAGCTTGACTTTAAATATAGAATCAGGTGTCCTGGAGTCCAATTCCAATACACTTATCCTTAACCTTTGCATTCTGAGGACATCTTGCAGTTTATTATGAGATAGTTCCAATAAATATGACCTTGAAGAAACTGAGCAAAAAAAAAAAATTCTCATTATATCATTTTAGAATAAAATAACTGTAGTTTGTCATGTCCCTCATGAACAGATTCATAAGAACTTGGGTATTATATATTTATATATGTTTGACTCATATATGTTAATTTATAATATTAAAACCTGGCACTTATTGAAATTTTAATGTACATTATCATATATTTTTCTTACAGAAAAAAAACTAATACCTATTTTCATTAAAAATTAGCTAATATTGGGGCACCTGGGTGGCTCAGATGCTTAAGCATCTGCCTTTGGCTCAGGTCATGATCCCCGGGTCCTGGGATCGAGCCCCGCATCAGGGCTCCTGGCTCAGCGGAGAGCCTGCTTCTCCCTTTCTCTCTGCCTCTCTCCCTGCTCATGCTCTCTCTCTCTGTATCTCTATGTCTTAAATTAATAAGTAAAATCTTAAAAGAAATTAGCTAATATCTATTCAGAAAGGTCAACTGAATTGTCTCATAAATTAAAAAGTGAAAAATGACAACCTAAGACTTCCAGTTCAGAATGCAACATTCTTTCCATGACTTAACAGATAAATATTCTTAGTGGCATCTTAAACAGGTACATACACAGGATAAGGGGGGGATGGAAAGCTAAAAAGAATAACATAGAAATGAGAGAATTATGAAATATAATTTCTGAAATAAAAATATGTACTAGGTGGACTTAGCAGATTGGTCACTTGAGAAGAATAAAAAAACAGGTATAATTAGTATACCTTCTGATGAATGACTGGGTTTGTTTGTTGCATATTAATTCATGAAAATAATAAAGAAATTATTTAATCTTTTAGGGTCATAACAAAAGACAGACTGAGTTTATATGAATAGCTTGAAGAGAGAAGACAAAGGATAGGCCAAATTTTTAACATAAGATCTGAAAGGTTAATGGAAAATGGAATAAGACACAGGTCTTTCCTTGTCTTCCCAAGAGATTCAAGGTTCTTGATGGTTCTTGACTTAAAAGTAATGTGATGAAATTCAAACTAAAAAAATAAGGACCTAAGTATAGACCGGTGTATGGTATTTATCTCTCATAGCTTAGATATCACATTCTCTATTTCATAGAGATTGATAAATCTTGTTTAGAAAATCATTATTATTGCTCATCATGAAATGGAAAGAAAAAAATTGACCCACATTTCACAGATACCCTACTTTGCCAAGTATTGTGCTTTATGACTTACATGATTTCATTTAATCTTCAAATTTAATTTTTAAATTGTGGGTACCTATTAGCTCCATCTCACAAAGGAAAATGATTGAAGCTCAGAGAAGTTAAAAAAAAGATTTGTGAAATCACGCAGCTAGAGTCAAACCAAAAAAGATGTGTGAAATCACGCAGCTAGAGTCAAACCTAAGGTTCAAACAAAACTGGGGTTCAAACCCAGGTCTGGTTGACTCTGGGATGGAAAATCTTTCTGGTATCCTCTTTGTAATATATGTGTTTTGACATTTCCTTTTTAAAAATTTTTTAACATCTTTTTGTTAGACATACTCCTCAGTAATGCTTCAGTATCCTAATAGTCAATAAATATGTCTAATAGTCAATAAATATGTTATGGCTAGAAAAAAGGGGAGAAAAAAGGAGAGTGTTGCATATAGTAAAATAATATAATTTCATTTTGGTTGATTTCTTTTTTGGATTTGTAGATGACGTGAGTTTTTTCTGGGTTCACCTAAGCAGAAAATCTTAGCAAACAGCACATCACTGCAGTGATTACAGAGCGGTGCTTATATTCTTCCCGTGCATTGGGCAGGGGTTTGTCCTTTCATACATCATTTACAACTTGCTGCAGTGATTGGGGTGGGGGATGGGACAGGGTGTGAATTTTCTCCTGTAATTCAGTATTGCTCCAACTTTTTCCCCTATGTTTTTCTACTAAGTAGACAAACTTCATCTACTAATAAATCTGTCAGTCCTTGAAATCAGGGGGATCTTTTTGAAGTTAAGTTTGCAAGCCATGCATTATTTTAAGAATGCTGTCTGGAATTTCAAAGAATTATCTAAGTTAACAGAGTTTTGCATAATCTATGAAGACGGCTAATAGTTTAGGGTTTAAAATAATGTATGATCCATAAACTTGGTATAAAAGACAAATATTCTTAGTGGCATCTTAAATTTTATTATAATTTAATATTAGAAAGATGTAGCTTAAAATACTTTGGATTTTTGCTGTTGTTGTTTTAAGATTTTATTTCTAAGTAATCTCTATACCCAATGTGGGGCTCAGACTTAACAACTGCAAGATCAAGAGTTGCATGCTGTAGTGACTGAGCCAGCCAGGCTCCCCTAAGACATTTTGTCTTTAAGATCGGGGCCTTTCACACTGTGGGTTAGAGCATAAAAATCCTTTTTTTGTTGATAGCCCTCTTGTTTCTTTTATTGAGTCTGAACTGGTTTGTTTAGAAAATAAATACTTTGGTTATTTTCTTTGGAGCTCATTCATATAGCATATTCAATACATAATGGGGATTATCTGTGTTCATACTTATCAAGGAAACTCCATAGTCAAGTATGGGAGAGTTCTCTGCACTAAGCTGGGGAGGCTGGGGAGGGCTGAGGGCAGCCCATGCGTAGTGTAGAGGAGGCATTCAGTTATTTTGTAATGAGATGGCATCTCTCCTCTTAGGTAACATGTTGCATCTGGAGATGATAGCAATGGACAAATTATCAGATCAATATATACTCAGAGTCTGGGGGTGGAAAGCAAAGGACAACAGAGACAACTGCATATTCAGAGAATCTCAGAGCAACAATATTTGTAGATCCAAAGTCAATTCATGCCATCTCTACTGTTATTGATAACCAAGCCATAAGACTAAGGCTCCCCAGCAAAATTCCATCCCTCTAAACATCTACTGGTGGAAACAAACAAACACAATTTATGAAAAGTAAAAATATTTACTGAGTTCATACTAATTATCAGGTGCAGTTTCTGACACTAGGTGCAGAAAATGGAATAAGACACAGGTCTTTCCTTGTCTTCCCAAGATTTCAAGGTTCTTGATGGTAATGCTTATTTATGATACTAATGATGATGACAGTAATAGCTAGCATTTATTGGAGGTTTAATAACTATGAGTGAGGTGTAATAACTTTCCACAAGTCCATGAATTTTCAACATTTAATCTTTTTAATCCTATGAAGTAGGTACTGTTAATAGCCTTATTTTATACAGTAGGGGAAACTGAGGTACAGAAATATATATAATGTACCCCAAATCACACACCTTGTGAGTCTAGCTCCAAATGCTGTGAACTTAGCTACTATACAATATGGTCAAATGTTCCATGAGTTCCATGATGGACACTTGCATATGCAATGAAGGAAACAAGTAGGGATGTAGGGGTGAGAGTGGGGAGAACAAAACTGAAATTCCATAAGAATAAAATTTTTTTTTATAATTTTTTCATGTCCTAATGTGCACAAACTCAATTAAATTGTTCTAATTTTTTAATTATTAGTATACCTTCTGATGAATGACTGGGTTTGTTTGTTGCATATTAATTCATGAAAATAATAAAGAAATTATTTAATCTTTTAGGACAGACTGAGTTTATATGAATAGCTTGAAGAGAGAAGACAAAGGATAGGCCAAATTTTTAACATAAGATCTGAAAGGTTAATGGAAAATGGAATAAGACACAGGTCTTTCCTTGTCTTCCCAAGAGATTCAAGGTTCTTGATGGTTCTTGACTTAAAAGTAATGTGATGAAATTCAAACTAAAAAAATAAGGACCTAAGTATAGACCGGTGTATGGTATTTATCTCTCATAGCTTAGATATCACATTCTCTATTTCATAGAGATTGATAAATCTTGTTTAGAAAATCATTATTATTGCTCATCAAAAGGCAGTATCAAGCACTTAATTGTGTGTGGTATTACACTAGATGCTATATGATAAATACTAAATAGAAATGGCCCTTAACTTTTACAACCTAAAATTTAAAAGAATGGGGTGTGTCACATTATGATAATTGTTAAATGGTACCAATAACATAAGGATATTGTTACAAATATTAGAGGCTATGCTCACAATATATTTGACAAAATCTCACAACTTCTAATTCCTAGTATCCTTTAACCTTAACATAATATACTGAAACTTCCTATTGTATTAAAAAAAGAAAACAAAACATTTTATTCTAACAT